TGCGACATGAAAATTGAAAAGAGAGAGCTCTTTATTGAATTTGATAATCTCGCAATCACAGAACATAATTTCATCGAGTGGAACGAGAGCACAAAAAAGAGGTCATTGATTTTAATTTTTTTAATTGAAAATCGAGAAAAAGAATCGCGAAGGAAATCCTGTGCAACGATCTCAAAAATAAAACGCAATCCAGGCAAACGCGGACCCGAGGAAAACGTAATCTCCTTTTGAGTCGAGCGTTTCATTTTTTAGAGTGGCGATTTTCATTCTTTCGCGTTCAACCGATAGAAATATTTGCATACAGACTGTCTATAAATATCGGAACAACTTTTCCTCCGTTACAAAAACCCATTACTAAAATTGTGGAGACTAACTATAATTTCAAACGCAATCCCTTAAGGCAATTGTACCTACAATCCCAATATCGTACTTATAATCTCAAATACAATCCTACAGGATAATCGTACAATTAAACAATTTAGATTAACATTTATTTAAGTGTTATCGTGTTTGACATTCATATAATATTTTACAAAGGACCGTTACGACGGATGCGAGGCACATATTGCAACAGGCTTGTATTTACATTTAGCTGAACGATAAAATTGTTGTCTAATCACGTAGACAATCAATTCGGATAAACATGCGTGACGTGATTTCATGTGATCAAATTTTCATAAAGAAATTTCGAATTCTCTCGACGTATAGAATGTGTGTATTTGCAACTGTGAGGGGTGCGAGTGAAACACGAAATACGTTAATGGTGATTAGAGCACTCATGCAAACTGTAGGTGATACACTTCAATCTCATTCTAATCCGTTTATACTCATTTCTCCCTATTTTATGGACATAGGGTAAACTCGAATAAATTGTATCTTATATCAAATGAATTAACTACGTAAGAATTTGTTAGACATGCAAGCAAATCAATTCAGTAGTGATCATATTTATTGAAAGACATATAGTAAACGTATCAATTTCATCATCACAATTTCATCATCACTGATATCTTCTTCTATAATTTTATATTAAGAGACTACATACGTTTGAGATCATGAAAACAACAGTAAAATTAAAAAAAATTTTCGTATGATCATTTTGTAATACAGAAAATTTTCAATGTGAATAAAAATCTTTTCTTATCCTTCTGTTCACGATTTCAAACATGTGTAACCCCTTAGTTATAAACTTACTTAAAATATTATAGAAAAATAAGGAAGTGAGTAGAAATTTTGAAAGTTTAACATGAATAGAAATTGGAACGTCTATATTAAATAATATAATAAAAATAGAATATTAAATTCTAATATTAATTTGATCCGAATTTACCCTTACGTAAAAACCGACCAAAAAACAAGCTCTTAAAGCGAGTTCACGGTGTGATTGATTCAACAAAACTGAATGTAAAGAGTTACTATTCTTATTGAACACTTAGCAGGCTTTGAAATTTGTTGGATCAAAACACAGCCGGCTTTAGTACAGACCAGACCATGTAATGTAACAACAGCACTGCATATAAAAGCAGCATCAGTCCGATGATCAAACTTCGAGCTCAATCTACTTTTATAAGGAGTACATAAGTAGATTGCAAATTTTTATGCAGAACAAGATATTTAGGATAGTCAATTGGAAAAATGTCAGATAAAAATTTCTTTTATCATTTAAAGACGCAATCTAATCTACCAATTATACTATTCGTCGACTTGTACTAGAGCTGGTCGTTACCAAACTCATTGAGCAAACGCATGAACTCGGTTTGAAAACCCGCAAATCGTGAACTCAAACTGAACGTTGTGAGAATCATAGACGATCTCGCATTCTGTTATTCAAACAATTTGAACGAACCTACGGCGTATACGTTGACGGCAAGTGGCGGTCGACTCCACACGCTCGGCGGTGTCTCTATAATTCGAACACATCAAGAAGAAACGTGTGTCACATTAAAGGTAGATCGCATTCAGGCCATTCAGGTGTCTAAAGCAGTAAAACGTCCGCCTGCGTGCGCGTTCAATACTCGAAGGCCGAATTAAACGACAGAGATAAAGATTAATAGAAAGAGATATAGAGAAATTAAATCTATTATATGTATTACATGTATAGTATAGAAGTGACAGCAGTTTATGGTTGCATTCTGATCTCTCTTTTTCTCCGCAAATTAAAGAACTAAATAACAGAGACAGAGTATAATGAAAAAGAGGTACAGATAAGTGAAATCTACTATGTAGAGAAGTATATATCTACAATTCATTCGGTAAGATGAGGCGCGAGAAAAAACAAGTTATCAAATTATCGTAGCCCTCATAGTAACTTCGATGTGTTTTCATCTATTTCTTCCTTTATTTATAATTGATATAGTGGGACTCATAAGTATTCATGTACAATTAAAAACTAAATAACTTTTTCAATATTGGATTTAATTATTGTTTAGGTATTAGAAAGTTTAACTTACTAAACAATATACAACAATTTTTTAAAATTTGTTACATTTCGGATTTTCAAAGAAAACAATTAAAACGCCTAATTATTAACTTTTTTCTTCAACGAATAGGATTTAAATTATATCATTGTAAGCATTGAGCCCATTGCATGCATCTGAGCCCCCAGACTTGCAATAATAAGACGCCAATAAATTTAAATAAAATAATAATAATACCAAAAGATAATACTATAATAAGGATGTCATTTGAGCATCATGACTACGACCCGAGTTTTTTCGACACGTCTTTCTTTCTTCTGGTGCCTTGTCTCGTTGAATGTACTGCAGTATACAGAAACATATGTATCTAATTTCATTTTTGAATTGCATTCCCAATTTTCTTTCTGCTATCTCAAACACGAAACTCGCTCACGATATCACCATTGCTAACGACTAATCATTCCAATAACTTGGACCTGTTTACTTTATTTTACTTCATTTAATAAGATGTTCGAGCATTCCAACAATTTCTTCCGATTCAAGTTTCTCGCACCATCCTATATACGTATAGAGATACACGCATGCAATTTCTTATACGGAGATACGCACACAGAAACAGAAGGAGGAGATCGATAGTACAATTGTTTGTTTAATAGAGCGATGCACACAGCTGGTAAACAGGCAGTCATCCAAGAAGTGGTAGCAGGTTACACCTAGAGAGATCTAGAAAGAGGCTAGAGAAGAAGGATAGACAGGCCAGGCAGGTCAGAGAGACAGTTGCCATGCTATGTTTTGTAGGTGTGTCCGATGAATCGAGTAATTGTTCCTAATCCGATTACCGCGCGTTGTCTATATAGTTACTCATCCCCTATGTTCTCGTTTCGAAACGTTTGCCTTCGCTAATCTCTATTTCGTTGAAATGAAGAATGTAGAGCACGATCGGACAGTTACGATAAAAGATCCATTTCCGTTAATTGTATTAATTGATGTATCGTAAAACGTAATTGTAATTTGTTTGATGGTACTGTAATTTACTTGACAGTCTCTTGGCATGTGTGTGTATCGCATACAGGATTAATTAGAGTATATTTATCGTCTCCTAGAATAACTTTAATGAGTTTTAATTTCGTGACTACTTTTGCATTGCTATACCTAATTATTAATCCTACGTTAGATCAACAATCGTGCATCATAGTAAACTGTGCGGATATTCATAAAAAGAATAGAACTTCGAAGATACTATAGAGTACAGAGACTCGCTAAACGATTGACACACCGCACACATAATATCAACATAAGAGACGTATTAATTCCTAAACATAAAGTCTACAGAACTCTACTTATTTTACTGAAAGCTAATGTTATATGGTCCGTCGATTATTATATCTAAATAATGTATCGACTAGATAAAACTAATTTCTAAATGTACGTCTTCACGACGACGTTGAGGGAGCGATATTATTTTAGAATAGTCCTTATCTGAAAGGAACAAAAATATCTTTTCCGTTTATATGAATAATAATCATGTTCAGAATATCGTATTAATTGCTTCTCGTTAAATATAATATTGGTATAATTCTTGTTCTCTTTTAATTAAGACATCAGATTTCAACGGATTTTAATTTAAAAAGTTTATCTAACGAAAATAAAGTATTATACTTCGATAATGTATTATAAGTAATAAAAAGCAAACTTGTTGTTAGTCAAATGTAAAATACGTGATTTATTGTACAGAGACAAATAAAGGCAATTGGAATATTATATAAAATTTTGTCCAGAATATACGTAACGGGAAACTGAATAAAATCGTCGTAATGCTGTTTTAGTTATAGATTTTCGCTCTCATCCCCATCGTCGCGTTCATTTTTCATAATGGTATTGTTCGATCGAATAATCGTCCCCCTGCTAATGAATCGAGCAAACGACGCATGATTGTGAACCGAACACCTAATAACGAGCTCGATGAAACTGACAGATGTCAAACGAGAAAGGAAGGGAACAGAGAACTTAGCGGGTGGTTGGTTTCATTTTTTTTTTATGCCGGATAACTGGGTGATCAGAGGGCTCGGGGTCGGGGGGAGTTTGGTCGGGGTAACGTGAGAAACAGTCGTGTAAGGCTGGAAATGTGAATATTTCGCAACCTTGCCCATATGGGGGTGCGAAGCTTCCGTTTCTGGGTTACCACCGCGTGGCCCTGTGGTCCGTCCGTGTCCAAGCCGCTCCCAAGGGATGACGATGACAGGTCCGCGCCTCGGCGCGACGACCGGGAGCACTCAACCCCTCCTGAATTCACCCTGCGGTACTGCTTGTTAGTGCACGTGTCAAGTTTGGGAATAGAACAGTAGAACACATTACACTTTTTTATTTTTATTTTTTTTATTTTACAATCAATTAGCATTACTCCGCGGCCTTCGGACGGGCTGCTACGTATCTGCGAGTTATAGTCCTGTCTTTAGGTGAAATTGTTATTACCGGAGAATTAATGAGAATGTCGTTGTAGACTCTGGAAAATTGAGATACATCATGCACACATGTGTATTGCAATCATGTAAAATGAAGATTTATGTTGAGGCTCTTCGAGATTGCTTGTGGTTGATCGACGAAGCTGCAATTTTTGTTGATTACAAAATATGCGTTACGATATGATATCAAGTTTCTTATCACCTATCGATTTTGAGAAAAATAATGGAACTGGGAAGGGAACGTCGCAGGATTATGAGACGCATTAATTTTTTATTATTTCATTAAAATAGAAAGATAATTTCACGTAGTTTTTATTCGCAATTTTAAATAAAATTATGATAATGGAACTAGGTGAACGTAGAAATGAACGTTCTGATTGTAAAAAACGTTCTACGAAAAACAAATTACAAAATAATTGTTTGAATAATAGCGATTAAAAAATTGCTTTCCAATAAATACACTATATAAATTGTTGATATCTAAAAGTGTAAAAAGATTGTGAAAAAAATTCCTTTGCCTCCTGTGAGGATTGAACTCACGACCCCTGGTTTACGAGACCAGTGCTCTACCACTGAGCTAAAGAGGCGCTCTTGATATCCTTACTGTTCGAACTGGAGATAATAATGAAATTCGATTTCACGATATAAAATTTCAAATACGTATTCAGTTACATCATTTAAAAAAGTATATACACTATAAAAGCATGAGTATGGTAGAAGGAATGCAAGATACAATTTCTAATATCTTTTAAGTGGTCAAGGGTCGTGAGTCATACAAAACACCGTAAATAGCACAAAATAATTATCAAAAATATGAAACATTGGTTATTAAAATATATAAATCGTAACAATGACAATATCATAATAATTATACTAAAAATATCGATAAAATCCCACGAGTGAATCAAGGTTCCTAAAAATTGAAAACGCACATATGTTGGGTCAAGCTTAAAACCTTCAATAAATAATGAAATATAATTAAAACACTTTCGTTTCGAGGACTCGTAGCGCGGCTATAATAGAAACAACTAGCATTGCGTTATTTAAACGTTGCGTTTACACAAGGGAATTACTTGAACTTTGAGCGAAACTTACTTGGTTTCATCCAGGAAGACGGCTTCCAGCACGCGTGCGGCGTAGTGCAAATTTCGTTGGAGCAGTTCTGCGGATATTTCGCCATGTTGTAACTGCCTGAGCAGGCACCTGAGCCTGTAAACATACAATTGATCATCATAATGATGCATGAAATTGAACACGAAGGACAAAGTGAAGTGAAGAAATCAAATAAACTCGTTCATCAACGCCTGACAAAACTTTTGAGATCATTTTCCATTAAAACAACAATATTACGAGCGAAACCGAGACAGAAAATGGATGAATGTGATAAATAGAGAATTTAGAAAAGGGATGTAATAATAAGTTATTACTATACTATTTTGTCACCAACAATGAATAAAATACATACATGTTCTTCTTTTGACAATTTTTCTTTCATATTTCATAGAGATATGATATGAAAATGATTATTTTTTATATCTCATGTATCGACGAATTGTTTCTCCTATTTCTTCGATGTAAATCTTTCATTAGACTAAACGAGATTCAATTCTTTGGCTCGACATCGAATAGGAAATTACAGTGAATCAAGATAAAAGAGCGAAGTGAAACGTGCTAAGCGTGATTTAAATGCTGAAGGTGAGCGTACCTGAGAGCAGCTTTGTCGCAAGCGTCGGGGGTGTCAACGGCAGGTAGCGAATCCGTCGTCAGATCGACATTATCAAGTATCTCGTCGAGATCCACGGACTGGCTTGACGAGAGAGTGTCTGGACTGTGCGGCGGCGGAGAACTTTCGAAACTTCCGCCGCTGATACATTTATTCTTGCCGGAACTTCGTCGCACTATCGTTAGCGTGCCTTGTTCTAGAACAAGACCGAGGAACACCGGACGTCAGTTTAAACGAGTACTCCCATAGCCGTCAATTTTAAGAGATTTATGAATACACCGCAAACTTGGTGCATTTATAAAAAAAAAAATTGATGTTCAGAACACGTTCAATTTATGAAACTATTTGTAATATCAAAAGTTGCATGTATTACTGCAATATGGAAGCAATGTCTGACAGTTCAGTCTAAATCATTTGCTTAAATTCATATCATGAATGTTTTATTTTATATAAAATTTGTAATCTAGTTATAAGATAGAAAATTATTAAGATATTGTAGATCCAGAGTTTTCATAAAAATATATAAAAGGTACTGCATAAGAAGACGTGTGGAAGTAGAATATGTGGAAAAATTATGATCTGAGAAACAAGAAATATCATGGATGATCTTAATCTATAAATGTAAGAGTAGCCCAAACTCCTTTGATGAGATTCTAAGAATTTCCATAATCTGCATGGCAAAGCATAGATGCAGTTTGAATGAACGTAAAGTATTCGACTTTCTTCATTAATCTCCTATACTACTTTTATCGTGCCTTAAAGGAAATTACGGTACTTTTTAATGATGCCTTTGGTAAGATTTTTCGCATTTTCATAATACCCCGTGCAATAATATTGTAAGTACAGGGACAAGTTTAAAGGAATGGCATAAGTTCAAAAACATTTGAGAATCCACTCAATGTAATTACGACCAAGCTTAACGAGAGTTTTACTGTTTTGCAATAAATGAAAAGTTGATTTGATTGAGAAACTTGAGGTCTCCTACTGAGCGTCGCAGATGGAATTGAATTCAAGTCTATCGCAAATAGAAGCTACTTAACTGTCACGAGGAAACTGTAAACCTCGGAATAGCCCGTTGCTATGTAAGAATTGCATTTCGTCAAGCAACTTACTCGATAGCTGGCCATTTCGACCAGGCGAGGAGGGATTGTGCAATCGGGAGGACGCTGTACCAGCGCAACTCGTGGTCGCGTTCGCGTTTTGAGATGCACCGGGCGAGGACACTGCAATATCGTCTCTCGTCACCCTTCGATCCGGCGAAGATGCAACTGCAACACAATTAAACGAATTCAGTTAATTTATTACTATAATTAGTAATACGAATAATAACATAGATATAGTGCAGTGAGCAGAAATGTATCAATACTTTTTGAAATCGAATAACCTTTTGAAAATTGTACCAAATGGCTTGAGGTTTCTTGAGAAGTAAATTTACTACATGATCCGAAAAAGTACTGGTACAGTTTCGTTCTTCGCTATCACAATATAAATAATAATGCAAATACTAATAGAATTAATGAGACAAATAAATTCATAATAATTTTATTTCAATATGGCTTCTGTAAAATCACGTGTTCGTTATCTTTTGCAATAATAAAATCAATCAAAATTGAGCTACGGAATTTCAAGATGAAAAATATTAATTGACAAAAGAGATGTCTATATAAAATGCATTCCCTTAACTAATACCGTACGTGTTTTATTTTGCATAAAAATGAAATACGAAATATTAAAAGGTGAGTACATACTGCAACTCTTAAATGAAAAAGGAAATAATTATCAGAAATTCATTTTCTTAACTAATGCCATAAATGTTTCATTTTTCATAATAATAGTCTAACAATAACAACTGATTGATAAAGACGTAACGTTATGTAATGGGTATGAACCCCATTTACCAATGATTGCATGGGTTTCATATTATGTGTCCACGATTATAATTGATAAGCCCATATTTTCCCGGCCGGATGCCGGATGAGTGATGGTTAATTAGACATAAGCTTAATTCGAAAGGACGCTCCCGTGGGAGACGACAATGCATCCGGATGATAACCGTAATTAATTGATCAAAGGACAGACGTGAAAACAATGAGTTTGCGAGGCAAAAGAACTAGGGTTCTATCGATTTGTGCAACGTGTCCTTGGATTACAAATGAGCCCTACAGTCCTTCATTTGCGTTTGGGTTACAAAGACTCTATTCCATTCCGTTATCATATGTAAGCAATGGAAACTAACACGATTACTACCGGAGTGTTTTTATGTTTTTTTCTACCTGTACTTTTATCAGTACCTCTTCGCAATGTAATTTTAATATCTAAGCTATACATATATATCGCGATTAAGAATAAAAAAATTGCGTTCGAAGCTTCGATTTTTTTGCTAATGAATAATTTGAGAGGGATGACTGGAAAGCTTTAAATGCAGGGATAGAAAAGGCAATGAGGCTAATATACGAGACCCACAACGATCCCCACAAAAGGGGTCAACTAGCGCGTCTTTGTTCTCCTGTTATCTTGTCGAATTGGCCTGGAATGAGTTCCCCCTGACATTAAAACAAATCTATATAGATGTTTACAGTTTGGACGCGCGTCCCAGGAGATTTACTCAGTGTAGACGTAAAAGATGAAAACAGATATTATATAATGAATAATTCTATGCAGTCTTATAAGTTCAATAATTGAATTAAGTCTCATGAGAACAAGAGAATTTTATTCACTTAATTATCAAAAGGTTACCTGCAGCGAGAGCCGAGGCAAATGGCAAAGTCCCACAAAGAAATCCCATTGAATGGCAGATAATATAAAGTCACAGATGTACGACAAAATAACAAACGAACGGAAAATACGAAGAGTTAATGAAACATGATATTTCGTTACATTCCAATAAAGTACATCCAGCCAGTGAAGCGAAAAAGTTAAAAGCAACGGAGATAAAAGGATTGATGCGAAAAATGAAACTCGCAATTAAAATATCGCGATCGAGCATGGCTCTCGATCGGGCTAAAGAGCAAGCAGGAAAGTCGTATTTTATCTGCAAATATCACATTTATGTGATGAACCTGTAATACGTGACAATTTCGTCCTATTTTATTTATTTTATGGACTTTCTCGTATTTTCTCTATATTATACACTTTCTTCTATTGATCAAGAAATGTATATCTGCTTAAAACCAATCGACAATTACATTAAATGTAATAAACTAGTATTGCACTTTTCAATTTTAATCGATTATCTTAAAAAAATGTATGAAGGACAATACACTTATATTCATTTTCTTACTACGCCTTTTTACTGTATAAATTGTTCTATTTTCTACCACGTGTCTTAATTTTTGTTTACTTGCTTTGCTCGAATGTTATCTTCTCTTCAGTACAGAATTATCACCACTATCGCAAACAAATTTTCCATCCTACGAGGTCATATTTTTCCGTCGCGTGCATGGATAATTGTCAAGAATCCTCAACCGACTCTTTTAGGGATAATGATTAATTGACTGTCAAAAGCGTGTTTACGTCCGACACACCTGCCTCTTTGAAAACTCATCTGTTGACAACGATTACATAAAAAATTACACTTCATGTGTTGTCAACGATTACGTTAAAATTGTTTGATCGGTCGTGACCTTTCGGTTCGGAAAATATTTTCTTGAAAGAAGAATAGCCCGAATGTTACTAACGTGTCGTGCAGTTGTTCCCACTTGAATTCGCGCAACGAACGAAGTTTACTGTTCCTTTCAAACCTGACACTCCATTCTTCATATTCTTTGATAACAAATAAAAACATGATGAAACATCACAAAGAATAATATTTTACGTAATCTAACTAGTATATAAAGTGACATATTCGCCCGGTGAGATAGTTGAAACGTTAGCATCGTTCTGCTCGACAAACTGTTGCTGAACTGCATTAATTACAGTAAGAAAAATGAAATAACATCATTAAGTCGTATCAACTTTTACTCGACGAAATTAGGAGAAACCTTGTGAATATTTTAGAAGAATGACAATTGCTATGCTATAACTAACTGTGCTATACACTAGCGATACTTCTGTAAAATAGTTCAAAGTAGATATTCGTCGGTTCTTGTACACTACTATAATATATTTATATTTTTTATATTTGAGTGCAACTTAGTGTTGGCACTAATACTTTCGTTTGGTACCGGCTTAAATAATAATTACAACTTTCACAATATGACAAAACAATTTACGTTTTCTTTCTGTTTTGTATAGAAGAATATGAGGAGGGTCATTTAAACCATGAATGGTAGGTTTAGTATTAATCTGTAGTCAATGGTAATGTAATGAGTTAGCATAATAGAAAAAATTACATAATTGGTCTTAAACTTTTGGAACAAAACAAACATTGACGTACTTTGCAGATATTTTCGGTTAAATTGTCTAAAATTATAGTATTTCAAACTTAAACAGTACTATTTCAAACTTGATACTTTATCTTTAATAATAGGTAGAAAAGTCGTAAACTATGACTAATGATGATATTTTACATAATCCAGCCGCTATGTATATACAGCATTTGCCCGATAAAGAAAATTGTATCATTAGCACGAATGCATTCGATAATTTTTACAAAATCTTATGCATTACATAGTAAAGTAGCATCCCATAGAAACTTTTGATCAAATACTAAAATAATTATTCCGTTTTAAAAGGAGGCGGCATACTTTCTAGAACTACTATATGTACATTAGCGATAGTTTTATAAATTTGAAGTTCAGAGTTCACATTTGTCGGTTCGTTGCGGTGCGCGCAGTAAAAGATTGCGCGAAACCATCAAACCGTGGGATTAATTAAGCAATTAATTTAATATTCCACGATACGTTCTGTGTGCGCAGGCAGCATGAGGGCGGTGATACTATTTTCTGTAATTGCGTGCTCGATGGTCAGCGCACGGACCGCAGGTAAAAGCGAAAAGTACAGCTACCTGGATCTATCGCTCTACCAGGTCTATCCGAGGAGTTTCAAGGACAGCAATGGGGATGGCATAGGAGATCTTCAAGGTTCGTTTGTATCTCCATGTTAATTGAGTATGTTACATGATTTTTACAAAATGTACGTATCTCTTCGTATAAGGTTTATCTAAAGAATTAATTATTTTTCTCTCGTAGGCATCATAGACAAGATGGATCATCTGGTCGAAGCGAAAGCGGATATCTTATGGTTGTCTCCCATCTATACAAGCCCTCAAGCTGATTTCGGTTACGATATTTCGAATTTCACCGACATCGATCCCATTTATGGAAAGTTGGACGATCTTAGGAAACTGATAAAACTTGCACACGCTAAACATTTGAAGGTGGTCATGGATTATGTGCCGAATCATACCTCGGTGGATCATCCGTGGTTCAAGATGAGCTTGAAGGGTATCGAGCCTTACAAGGATTACTTTGTTTGGCACGAAGGAAAAGTGCTGGACAATGGCACCCGTGCACCACCAAACAATTGGGTAAGTATCGTTTAAATTAAATGATAAATTATATAAATTATAGACGTATAATATGTATTTATATCAAGTATTGTATCATTGGTATCATTGTAATGTGTCCTAAATAATTTCCAAGAATTTATTTTATTGATTAAGTGCACTTGAAGTTAATCTTCAATTATCTGGCTTCCAATGAATTATTTAATGAATTGTGAAATGTGAATTGCAATTTTATTAGTAATTCATTAAATATAGGAAAGAAATTGTCAAATGTGAAATTGTTCATTCGATTTTATTATCAATCAGATTATCTCTATCAAATAAGTTTAGCAACTAGATGTTAATTCTGTATCTAAACATTAAATTACACCACGGGCCACGCTCGCGATACTCATTCTTGGCCCTATTACCTCACCACGAGTCTCACATGGTTATAGAGCAGAAGAATAGCACGTTACTTGAAGTCAACAAGTCAATATTAATGAAGCTAACAATTTGTATTCTGATTTACATTTTATATGTGTCTGAATAATTTGTTTACAGATGGGCGCATTGGGCGGAACTGCTTGGACTTGGAGCGATGAGCGACAGGCGTATTACCTTCACCAATTTGCAAGCGAAGAACCGGATCTGAATTACTTCAACCCGAAAGTGGTCGAAGAAATGAAGGTACGTGCACATTCTTGTTACATATATTATTTGCAACGTAACTAACTATGAGAATTATCAAACTGTTCACTCGCCAACTGTGATATGTGAATAATACAATTAAGCTACTTAGACCAACAATTTTCATTTTTATCGTTGCACTGTATTCTTGAA